TGTACTAGCATTGGTAGGTACTGTACCTTTAGCATTCAGTCCGTAACCACAGAATTCTGTAACTGGTCTTCCTTTTTGAACTGTGAAATATCCTCATCCTCCAAATTTCACAAAGTTTTGAACTGTACCTCTGTTCCTTTAATGAGGAACAGGTTGTCAGTGAGAGCCAGGAGCTGTTCATTTCACAGATGTCAAACCTCTTCCTTCATCAGCATGATCTGCCCAAACTCAAAGCTATTCACATAAAACCACTTTAAAATGAGAATAGTGAAACAGCTCAAACCATTCCCTTCAACAACTATTAACAACTGTAGGGTCATAGTCGATCAAAACAGGCCTACAGAAAGATTTGGTAGGTCTAGAATTTAACCCTAACAGAAGCTATGTTCAGAATGGAATACTAGCTTAGTATTAGCAGTATAATGCCTCTTATTCTTTAAAAATATCTACTGTGATCGCAGGCATTATTCGATGATCAGCATTTCAAAAAAAGCCAATGCAATATTGTTGTCTTCCAACCTCCTTCGAGTGGCACCATATTCTTGAAAACAGTAAGGGCTATTTTGCATTTTCAATTCAAATTTGTATTTAAATATCCAGTCAAATCATGAATCACTTTAACTACTTTAAATAGGTTGAGTTGAGCACTCTGCTATAAAATTTGCATGTTGTGCACAGTATGCATACTACATGCGAGTCTTTGCACCTATTCGTATTACTGCACTGCATCACTGTTAATTTGCATAAAGAGACTTTGCTCATTTTTTGCTGTTGTTTTTTTTTGCCTCAAATCACCAACTCTAAAAATTTAATAAATAAATAATATTACTGTACGTGTATCACAGTTATTCAAAGCTGACAAGATGGGGTTTTAATGGGAAAGCTCACACAAAAATGAGAATTCTGTCATTAATTACTCATCCTCATGTCATTCCAAACCTGTAAGACCTTTGTTCATCTTCAGAAAACAAATTAAGATATTTTTGATGAAATCCGAGAGCTTTCTGACCCTGCATAGACAGCAATGTAACTACCACGTTCAAGACCCAAAAAGGCAGTAAGGACATCGTTAAAATAGTCCATGTGACATCAGTGGTTCAACTGTAATTTTATAAAGCTACGAGAATGCTTTTTGTGCACAATGAAAACAAAATTACCAACTTTATTCAGCAATTTCTGCTCTTCCGCATCAGTCTTTGAGAGTACCGCTATTTATGCGCTTTTTTTTTTTCCAGTGCTATACGACTACAGAGAAAAAAATACAAAAATAAAAAGGTAGGAAAACTTCTATACCCAAAATGAACTGGGCTCGATCAGACTATCTGTGAGTTGGTATACAAAGTATGATTTGAAGTTTTGGGGCAGTCCAAAGTCCACCAGACAATGCATTTTACATCATTTCGTCAAATAAACAAGAAAAATAATACACATTTTTGCTTACACTACCCACACTGTAACAATACAAAGCTGGTTAAAAATTGACTTAGTCTTTAATTAACCAAACAAATGATGTGTGTAATGTTGGACACGTAAGTCACAGTCACATTAGACTTTGAGCATGCAAAATTTCTACATACTCTGCAAAAATTGTAATATGACATCAAACTCTGGCATCTTTTAAAAAAACATGATTTAACATCATCTCCACTTTACAGCAATGCAGCAATTTTTCAGATTCAAAGTTGACTTTCTTTGAATTCAGCTTAGACATCATGCAAAACTTCTACTGGTCAAACGTCTTCATGTGATATGAATTTGCAGGTCAAAGTTCACCAAACTTGAACTAAGAATGCAGCAAAAAAAAAAATTAGCATGAGCTTGTGTTTCCTGTCTCCCACATTCACATGTGTATGGATGGAAGTCAATGGACTGAAAAGTGTAGTGTGGCCAGCCCTTTAATGCACTCAACTGTTGCAGCTTTCCTGAACTCTGATGCTGAATGACAAAATAACCTTATATACTCTAGACATTAGAGTACATAGTGCAACACAACTTCTGGCTTTCTCGCTAGAAATCACTATAAGTGCTAATGCTCCTTTATATATATATATATATATATATATATAGATAGATAGATATGTACAACAGTGACTGTTCTCCATGCACAGATTACAAAACCAGAGTGCAGATATTGATCCACCACCTGATAATGCTGGATACAGCAGTCGAGTATGAATGAAAACTATCAACAGCACAGGAACTCAACAGTCAAAGTGTGAACACCAATGAGTCATAATAGCAAGCTACTGTGACAGGGCTTCAAGAGATGCAATTTTTACAAAATGAGCTCAACATTAGATTCATGGCATTGTTACAGCCACATAAAATACAGTTAACATGAGGCAGTAGTTTGTAATCCTTCAAAACAAGCAAAGCCCTTTGTGTTTCAGGCAGCATATTGTTGATGTCTCATTCCCAGGGGCTTCCCTTAACACATCATCTGTCTCTGTCTCCTTAGAAATAGAAACATATCCTCTATATAAAAAAGACTGACTTTTAAGACATTAGACAAAATAGACATTTTAATATCTATAAAAAGATATAAAAAAATATAGTAGAAATGCACTCTTTACATGCTCTTGAACTGAAAAAAAATATATATATATCTGTTAACCAAACAAGGGCAGTTACAAAACAAGACCTGCATTAGATCTCATACGAAGACACATCACATACCGAAGCTATCATTTGGATTTCTACAAGCTTTCTGGCACCACAGAGCTAATGACTGTCAGATTCACAAGCTAATTGTTCTTTAAAGTGGTTGTTTTTAATGAATCAATAGAACCGATTTGCAAATTGGCCTGCATCAAACTCATGCGTTATCAATCGGTCAGATTACTGAGCTAATAACACTCTCACACGCTGAATCGAAAGTCATCACTTCTGGTAACGCCAAACCGATCCCAAGAGAAAAGAAGATTGCTCTTAATAATAATTGATTGGTGTCAAATAATAACTGGCTATTGACATGTTAAAATAAGACTTTATTTGGTTCTCACAACCAGAGAAATCCTTGCAGAAACAGTCTTTTCTATGGTACAAAACGCTGAAATATTCAATTTAAGTTTAATTTTCAAAACTAAAAAGAACAAAATGGATGGATTTGAACCAACAAAATTAAGTTACCAGATCAAATCTTCATCCAACCAAAAACAACACCACCTTGAACATTTCAGTTCTGTAACCTTAGTATGCTACGATTTAGGCTACCATATATAAAACATGGCTTTCCTCAGTTTTTTGAATGCTGCAAAAGTATTGTGTTTGATTTACAACAATCACATATTAATATATATTTTTCTTATTTTCTCTGTAACATAACTCACATACAGTACACACTAAGATATTAAGTAAAATATGCAGTATTTATGTTAAAAACACAATGTTCTATAATTGCAGTGACATTTCCACCTGATTTTTTCTTGTTGAAAATGAATCTCATCAATAATATATTACACCTACGGTGCAATATTCATTATCTTCTTTCTTATTTTATACAAGGTCATACTAACTGTATAGGCATGGGATTAAATATATATGTTTTACCACAGACTGCTATTTTGTCGATGTGTCAGAAGCCAGTAACACTACCACAAATGAACTGTTGATGATTGTTCAAGATGGGTGAGACCATTACAAAACACGTTACTACTGATTTCATGACACATAACGGTCAAAGATATCTTCAACAACACTGCTATTTCATAATGGACATTCAAAAACTTATATATTCAGATAAAAACATGTAGAAACTAGGGCTGCACGATCAATCAAAATGGAATCGAGATCGCGATTCGACAGAAGCTGCGATTGTCATGCGTATCTTCCAGTGAACCACAGTTCTGTGATCAGCAGTAAATCTCCATCCAAAGGCCAGAGGGCGCTCTCGCGCTGAAACTACAAATACGCCTCGCAGAAGAAACCCAGAAAATGCCTATCGCTGCAGCTGAATAAACAGAAGATTCAACGGCTTTCATTGATTCAACGTGACTAATAAACACACGACTACGACAATATAAGTTCTTATTATTATAATTTTCATTAAAATAAAGTATATTTATATTGCAATGCCTTTATCACTGCTTAGATACTATGAAATATGTTGCGTGCCTTATTCTGTGTAAGAAGCCACATCATCTCACAGAAGGATTTATTTCAAACACTCGACTGACATTATGAAGTGAGTTTGGAGTAAAAATATGTTATTAAATGTGGTATTTTCACATGCTTTCAGATGGAGCAGCATTTACTTCACAGAGCCGTAGTTCACTGAGAAGTTATGCATACAGCTGTCATTATCGCGAACGATTTCTTCGATTTCATAATCGCGCAATAAAATCGTCTGCGATTTTTTTGCGTAACTTGTCAGTGAACTACGGCTATGTGTAGTAAATTCTGCTCCATCTGAAAGCACGTGATGATGATTTCCTGCTGATTACAGAACCGGCTTTTTTAACAAAATGCGCATGACAATCGCATTCGATTAATCGTGCAGCCCTAGTAGAAACTTTCAGTAGCTACTCCCCTCACCACACATGATCTTTCACTTCAGGAAGTGCTTCTCATAAAAGTCCTTTACATACACTATATTAAAATAATACATTTTGCAATAAATCTTTTTTTAAATACATACCTAAAAATACCTCATTAGAGAACAGTGACATTGTCGACAATTTTCGAAATCTAAATAGTTACATTTTCCAGTTTACAGTTAAAAGCATTTTAAAACATATATTTTCTATGAGTTTGTGCATTGAATTTTTAGCCATCTAAAAGTGATTTACAGCATCTGTCACCCCATAACTTTATTATGAATCAACATCCAAGTGATCCAACAGCATTTAACATCAAATTTCAAATAACAACACTGCCAATCTAGGCAATGTTGTTAGCTATGCTCATAGGTAGATGCAAATTAATCAATTCTTCCAAACATTATGTAACAAAATGCTACTCAACAGGCCACAAGCAAGGTATAAAGAATAAGAATAACTCACCGTCATTGCTCTCCTAAATGTCACATGCAAGGATTGCTAAGGATCAGCCGGAGGCCCTGCCAGTGTGTGTCTGTCAACTGCAAACAAGACTTCCTGCTATAAAGGTGTAAACTTCCTGTTTATAGTCCGTTGTGAGATTACTTAAATCTAATCGTGCAAAAGGCTATAAAACTGATAACAAACATTAATGTAACATTACAAGATTCATATCCGGCTACTTTTAACATCCAGTCAGTTTGAGTAGGCCTATATTTCTAATTTCCATGCTGTTGTAGATGTGAGGAAAAGGATTTCATATGATTTTATGACTTTTAAATGTGATCTAACTGCACCATAATCAGATGATGCCATTTTTGAGATGTTCTGTCAACACTGCATGCATAATTAACAAAAAAAGCTAAATAAACATGCCGCTATCATTTATGTCAATTTCTGGCCCACAGATTCTCTTGAAATTTGAATTTGAATCTGCAACTAGTTTCTAATTCATTTTCATCTCTTATTTATAAGTAGAAAATGAGATTCATAAGGTGACTCAAAAGCCTATGGGATGGTGTGTTGAAAAAAATATCACGGCTTCATTTCATTGGACTAGGTTAGCCCAAGGGGAATCTAGGTAGTTTGCCAATAACTAAATCATTGATCTCCTAAGGTTACAGTGAACTTAGAGGGGAATTGCCTTATTTGCGAGTAAGCGAATACCTATGTGATCCAAATCAAACAGACCCGGCCAGTCTGATTAGATTCAAGGGCCTTTAACAATAGGTGGAAAATGACAAATGCAAAATACTTTGACTGTAGCGCTTCCATTCTGTCATGCTGTTTTCAAGTAACTTTGATTTCGTGAAATGGAAACTAACCTTATTTAGTTTCTTACTGGATGTTCCTTCCTTTGGTTACGTCATTTAGGCCATGCAGGTTTTTAGATTATGTTAGCCTAACCAATAGCCAAATAGCTGTTTAGGCTTGTTTTTGCAAACTTGGTCTGACTCCATTCTGGTATGTGTCTTTTCTTATTGAATATCCTGTTTCACTCAGAAATATATCATATTGCTGAAGTAAAAAAAAAAAAAAGTTAAAACAAGCTAGCTTGAGCTAGTTCATGATTATGTTATGAAGATGGAGGATGCATTTGTTTTTATAAAAACAAACGCAACCTACTTATACTCCCTGACCACACATGGATTTTTCACCTCAGGAAGTATTTCTCATAAAAGTGCTATTGGTGTTTTTGTTTTTGTTTTTGTTTTTATTTATATTTTATTATTGATATTTGTATTCTTTGTTTTATTGTTTTATTTTTATGTATATATTCATTAATATTAGTGCTGTCAAACGATTAATCGCGATTAATCACATCCAAAATTAAAGTTTTTGTTTACATAATATATGCGTGTATACTGTTTATATTTATTATGTATATATAAATTGACACACATGAATGTATATATTTCAGAAAAATATGTTATGTTTATATATTAAATATATTAATATGAATTATATGAATATAAATATATACATGTAACTCAATGTACATATTTTCAAAATATACACTGTATGTTGCATTACTATTTAAAGTAATGATTTATGTATTTTAAAAGAGGTCAGCTTTCCTGAAATAACAGTGTTATAATTTCACACTCCTGTTCCCGTACTTAAAGCGCACACGTAAAGCGACTCACTCGCTGTCACATTCTTCAGTGCATTGATGAAAAGTTTGACACTTTCACGGATCATCAAAACCCGCCTCCTCTCGACAGAGGAGAACTGACATTTATCAACGTACAACCATCTATTAGGCGCAAAATCACTGCACACATGAGTCCTTTACTAGAGGACGTTCTGTCCTCGGTTCGCAGTGATCTTCCTGTCCCACTGGGCGTCCCTGCCATATAGTGATGAATAAGCCCTGGGATAATGAGAGGACATACAATGTAGGGCAGGCGGACGCCGCTGCTGCCGGTATGGGGGTTGTTGGGGGCCCTGGGGCCGCAGTTCTCCAGTGAGTACCAGTGAGGCAGGCTCTTCTCCCCTGACTGCCCATGATGCATTGAGCTCCAGTTTGCTACTCTACTACACAGAGAAGAGAACGTGAGCGCTCTCATTTATTATGGACGAGCAAATTAGTGCCATGATGCATGCATTAAACGCCCTGACGGTGGCATTACCTTGTGCATGAGAAAGAAGGAGAGACGGAAAGACTATGACAGCGAAAGAACATCATGCATGTATCATACACGCGGGAGTCGAGAGTTAATGGTTACACAACTGCATTAATAGCTCTTTAATGTGACTCTCGGTCTCCCAGTCGTATTGTATAATGAATAAATGCGCTTTCAAAATCAACAGAAACTGAAGCGGACGTGCCCTTTTCACCTTCTGTTTATTTTCGCTCCAAACAAGTGCATTGGAATTCCAGACGCCGAGTTTTCCCCAGTACACAGGTCTTGTGAAGTGAGACTCAAAGAATCTGTGACACTGGGTCTTTGACAGCTTCTTTCTATTGATTTCTTTTGTCTTTTTTTCCAGGTGTGGTGAGCTATGACCATAAGATGGATAGCCGAGGATGGCATGGAAACATCATTATCTGTAACCTTTGGTTGACTCGGACATTTAAAAAAAGAAGAAGGGGGAAAAAAGGGAAGCGGAGCTCCAGACATATAAAAACTAAAGTTCTAACTTTGTGATTTTTATTTGTATTTATTTATTTAGTTTTTAGTTTTTATCTGATAAAAATGGCTAAGTCCTCAAGC